GAAGAATTGTAAAGCTACTTAGAAGAAATAAAAATGATGATTTCATGAGAATTTCATTTCAGAAACATGATAAATATTAATTATGCTTTATTTCTGTGTCTATATGTGGAGTACACATTGCCTGGTATATCTATATTAGCAATATTTGCCCTATCAAGGAAACAGGCTTATTTGCTGAGTGACAAATTTGCTGAATTACTGAGAGGTTTTTTGTTTTATTTTGTTTTTGCTTTAAGAATCAAAATTAACTGCAGCTTTTTATATCTGCTAGTCCAGTTCCACTAAATATAAATCTCATTCTGTTTCATATTCACAAACCAAGTTCTTTTTGAATGCTTAATATTTTATATGCAAAAGTTTAGGGCTTTCTCTAAACTTAGTTTATCCCCTTTCTATTTTTGAATCCTTATGTCCGCTTTGCTCCTGTAACTAGCAATGAAGTAGCTCTCACAAGTTATGCTAGACTACAGTCTAGGTATTTGTCAATTTTGGGTGAATGGCTTATTCTGCAAACTTACCCAGAACGTCTATCAATGTGGCACATTTTTAAGAGGATTTTAATAAGCTGAAAGTAGAAGCATGCTCCCCTGCAAGGCAACACAGGATCCCTGCAATTTGGGGAACTACACTGTATATCACGGTCATACGGCTTGTCCCTGGGCAATTTTGGAGTCATCCAGATCTAAGAGCACACGTTTCCTTTATGAAACTCCTTTTTGAAACATCACTGAAAATCACTAATGAAATAAACCTAAAGAATTAAAATATAAAGTATGAAATAGGTCAAAAGAATAAGACAGACTGCTAAATTGCTGTCTAAGTGTTGAATAAGAAAAACCTGGGACAACTAAGTTTTCATTACATTAGTCATTATGCTCTAGATTAAAATACAGGTGCTAGCTCTTTAACGTAATAACTAAGTTCCTGAGCACCTATTACATGCCAGGCATTTGGTATTAATTATCTTTAACTCTAGTAACAAGCCTGCGAGACAAGAGTTCCTTGCAATTCTGAAAACAGAGATTGGAGAGTTTAAACAACTTACTCAGAATCACAAAGGCAGTGTGTAGAGAGCTAATTTTTTTAAGTCTAGTTTGGTAATTTTAATAAAAATGCCTTTCTTTTTTACTTTTAGTTTACACCTAAAGAATTGTTCGTTTCAGTTCCACGGGCTAGCATTTCAATGCAACTGAAATATATTCATCTTATATGTGGAATACAGCTGCCTGAGAAATCAGAAAGGAAATAAAACAGTATTTTAACAGTATTTTAACAGTATTCTTAACTCACTTTCATATTTCTCATTATAATGTGTACACATTTATTATATAACAGGTTTGCTAAAGTACCATGAGTAGGGCATTAATTTAAAAAAGTAAAAGCATGCTAGTTATATTTTATGCAACAGGAAATGGGCACAATCTCTCTGCATTTTTGTTTAATTAAGATTCTGAATTTGAAGTAGTTATGTATTTCTAAATGACTTTTTAACTTTATGTAGCTCTCATAAATGGCAGAATGTAAAAGTTTACTATGAATTTTCATGAGTTCTGACACTTTCAAAGATATGGACGTGGCACATTTCATGGTGACTGACAGTACAATGCTGCTATAATAAAAATCTCCTGTCAGCTTCTCTCCTGACATGTCTGAAGCCTCTCGGTTCACGAGTCAGATTAAAATACGTGCTGGAGGGAGGAACCAAATCTATACTGTCCCATCTTTACAGCAAAAGAAACAGGATGGGGACAAAATGGTGCAGGGGTAGAAGTTTGTTTTTAATAATTACATATAATAGGTTGTTTGAAATGCCTTAATCATGCCATTTTTTTTGTACCTCACTATGAGGAGTAAGTTGGGAGTTTTATGCAAATTTTCAGTTATCCAGGTACTTTTCATTGCCCCTGGGAACCAGGCTGCAGTCATGTGAGTTGATCCAACTGTGACATCCTTTATCTAAATGATAGCCATTTAAAACAATTCATTTCTATGGGCCCTAAGTTTTATAAATCTCATGCTGTTTTTTCCCCTCCAAGGTCTGCTTCTGCCCACCCAAAAGTCTATTTACCTCCAATGCCCAATTCTCCACTTGTATCTTTCATGTCTCCTCCTTCAAAAATTAAACTCCCACATTGTGGTTGCGGAGACACGCTCCCATCCCCCCTCAGCGAATACAGTTCCATTCTTAAACATAAAACTAATAAACCCCTTCCTAACTCTTCTGCCTCCTCCTTCTGCCCTTCCTCCTGTCAGCTTCCTAGGATAACAGTCTAGCTCTGTTCCTTCATTGCTTGACATATTGTAGCTGGGCTTCTGTCTCTAACACCACGCAGCTTCCCGGCCGTCACGCCCTTGGGGCTTTTCAGTGCTACTCTCCTGAGAGCCTCCTCTTCCTTGAGTCTATGGCATCTGTACGCCTCTCGGTTTTTCTAGTGCTGAACATTTTTTCTAAGACTGGTATTTTTCACACGACTCTTTTCCTGGATCACCACTTTCTTCTAATCCACACTTTTCATGTTGAATGGTCCTCAACACTGGCTGTGCATCAGAAATACCTTTGCACTTGAAAAATACTGTATAGTAACTTGGGTTGTGCCATGTTTCCAAGAGCTGGGCCCTGGAAGATGTATTTCTGAGAACCCCTCTGGTATCTCTGGTATGTGGCTCCGGTCTTCAGTGTTCTGCCAGGACCTATTACCTTCCTTCATTACTCTCTCGCTTGGCAATTCCATGGTGTTTTGGCTTGACGTATTGTCCCTCTGCTAAGGTAACTGCTCACTGGTTGTAGATTATCATAAGAAAATAATCATTTCATGACCAAGTTTGGGAAAGATTAGACAAGGGAGAGGTTATTTTATGGAAGGACTTCTCAAGGCAGTATGTATACTGCATACCTCTATGACACTCAAGGCTCTTTCTACTCTGTTAAAAAGAGTTGTTTGCGTTCAAATTGATCTCCGACCTCCTAATCATGGCTAGATTATTAGTTTAAGGCACAACTCTACTCTTGACATTTCTCCCCTCAAAAATCTTCAGTTGCCTTTGGATTAGAGCCAAGTTTAAATTCTCTAACTTGGCATTCAAGGCCTTGGAATAACTGCCTTCAACCTTTTCAACTTGATTTTACCTTTCATTATATGATGAAAAGTGAAGTCAGACATATTTGGGTTTGAATTATGTTTTTTACCTTGGATAAGTAATTTAAATACTGCAAGTCTCATTTGCTTATAAACGAAAGGATAACCTTTTTAGGTGGAAGCAGTATTATTTTGAGGATGACAAGTTGGCCCTTCTCATACCCTGTGCAGAAATACTTGGTATCACCTACTAAAAAACAGTGGTTCTTAAATTTCAGTATGCACCTATATCTGGGGGGAACTCTAATTCAAAAAGATGTACAAACCCCAGTGTTCATAGCAGCACTATTTACAATAGCCAAGACATGGATGCAACCTGGATGTCCATCAACAGATGACTGGATAAAGAAGATAGACAGACACACACACACACA